TCCCTTCTCCCACATTACCCCATTCAAATCACCCAACCATACACCACCCCTCACCCTTTCATTCAATCCACCACAATCCCTCCCTCACACCATCCTCCCACCCCCTCACACCAATACAAATTACCCCCATCCACACTCTCTTTCCTACAAATACCCCCCATACCTGCACACACCACCAACCAACCCCTCCCCCTTTCCTCCCAAATTTTTACCAACATCATCTCCTCCCACCAAACCAAACTCACCAACCAATCCCTACCCACCCTTCAACTACATACCCAACTTCATCCCCAATCCCCCTAACTCAACAATATACCCCTTCATCCAATTCTCAACCCAATACCCATCCCAAAAAACACCTATCCCTTCACTCACCCATCCCACATTCCATAACCCCTTACATAACCCCCCCTCATCATCCTACCACCCCACCAACCCTCCTCTCTCTACCCATCCATTCCCCCTTCCTAATCCCCCCAAAACTAACCTACCCCACCTTACAATCCCTTAACCATCTTCACACTCAACTCATAACCACCCCATCACATCAATATAACCCATTCACACCCACTTCCAATCCCCCTTTCCAACCCAAATATACAATATTATATCAACATTCCCTTCCCGTCCTCATATTCTCCCTTTCTTTCCACCATCATTATCCCCCCTCTTATCATCCCCCACCATTTTCTTCATCTAAACCTCAGCCATCCTCACACTATCATGCCCCACCACCCCATTTCCCAATTATCTTTCTTCTTCACCCCACATACCCATTATCCCCAACCCCGTAACAATTCCATAACATAAATCATATCCCAACACCCATCCTTAAAAACACACCAATCCACATCCTTCATACCACAACATAACAAAATAAAACATATAATTTACCAAAATCCTAAAAACATTAAATCAACAAAATAATCAAAACCATAATTCCAATATAATACCATAAATATATTCAAAACCATAATACCAACCCCCCAACCATCCTCCATCCTATTATACATTATTATCCCCACCCTCCTATTATATTAACATAATCCCCCCAATTCTATCCCCATAATTTTCCCTCCCTTACACCACCTCATCACACACCCCCCCCCCTAATTCCTTTATCTCACCCAATATTCACCTCCAAATTCCCTTTACACACCATAACATCACTTCCACCCCATCCTCATCCTCCCATATTCCCCTTTTATCATCTCATCACATCCCCCCCCACCATATCCCCCCCACATAACTATCCACTCCACCTCATCACTACATCTATCCCATTAGATCCATATATTTTTATATTTAATCCATATCTATCACCTAACACATCACCTCCCCACTACCTCAAATCACCCATTTTTATAACCCCCTCTTATAATACACAACTCCCACTCATTCTTCACACATACCCCTCTTATACCTACACCTTCCCATCCCCACCCCAATAACTCCCCTCCCTCCCACTAACATATCTTAACTTAATAACCATATTATACCATCCCTACCTTCACCCAATACACCCACTCAACACAAAACCTCCCAACAACACTCCCCTCTCAATTCCACATAAAATCTCATCTTCTCCATACACCCCCCATTCCTCTACCTAACCACAACCCCACCATCCCCTCCCCAACACATCACCCACAAACCCATTAACCCCCCCTTCCCCAAACACCATCCCCAAATAATCCACATCTCCTTATACCCATAACACATCATCTACCCACCGACCAATCCCCCCCCCCTTATCTCCCCCCCACATTATTACCCCATACCCCACATCACAACCCATCCCCTCCCCCTCACCAAACCCCCCTCCCCCCCAAACTCAATCAACCACTATCATTTCCTATACCCCCACCCCCAAACCCCCCCTTCCTACTCCACAATTTACTCTTCCACACATCCCCAACCCCCCCCCCCCCATTCTATACCCCCCCTTTCTATTCCATCCTTAACCTCCACCAACCCCTCCTTCCCCAACCCTCCTTTACTCCCCCACCATATATACCCCTAACAACTTAATTCTAATACCCCCACCTAATCAAATTAAATTCCCTTCTCAACACACCCACCCATCCCCATCCTCAACTCTCACCACATACCACTCACCACTCATCTCCCCCCCTATACTCACAATACCACCAACAATACCCAAACACTAAACCATCCCTTCTTTCCCCTCATTATTCGTTATCTCCATTCATAACTTTTATTTACCTTTTTCAGTTCCCACTATCCCAACCCCATTCATCCACCAATCCTATTTTCCAATTATACTCCAATCCCATCATATTCAAGCATCTTAGCACACCATATTACACCACCACCCCCTCCACCACATCAGATAACTACGCATACTCCATTCATTCCCCCTTCACATCCACTACCATTTCACAATCTACCACCCAATCAAAACTCCTCCATACCGAATTATATTTAATACTATATCTACTATATCACCCCTGTATAAATACATAATATAGCCTGACTTTACTGCGTACATACCATTCAATAAGAGTCATATTATATTTATCCCACATCGAACCCCTCTTCTATTACCCATTCCAATACAAATACATCCCTTCCACTTGCCTATACTTCTATTTTCTATACCCTAATTCTCAATCCCCCCATTCCACCCCCCCACACATCCTCTCAACCACACCCTTTTGTAATTACCCTTCTTTCTGAACATATTAATTACCCTAATTTTCGACAGTAATACATTCCACTATGATCTTTTACTAATTATTTCCCCTACTATCTCCATTATGGCATAATATTATTCGGCCTTAGCCCACCCACCCAACATTTTAATAAAATAAACTCATCACTACCCTAATCCACTTATTCTAATTTCTCCGTCTTCCTGTCCATCAATACTTAACACTTCTCCCCAGCTTTACCTCCATAGTCCCTTACACCTCTATTTATTTGCTAACTCTCCATACTTCCAAAATTCTTACTTCCTTTATTATAAATATTTTATATGAAACCACATTACCCACTTTCCTCGATTATCTACATCCTCAAGTTAATCTTATATACAAGTCTCTTTTGTCATTAATTCAGAATTAATCATCACCATCTTTATTCACACCCTGAATGTTCCCAATACTTATTGACCTTCCACTTATAACATTAATCACCAGCATCAGACCTTCAACCCAAGTCATACTTAATCATAAGCACTATATATCTCTCATAATCATTTCATTACCCTTAATCATAAATTAATAACAACCCTACCACGTCTTAATTTATCCCAGTACTCCCTACGTCTCGCACAAATCACCCAGCTACATTACACTCAAAGAACTATTCAGTCTCAGCTATTTAGTCTATCAATCATTCCTAACCTACCCCACAATATACCACCACCCTTATGATACAATACTACTTACTTACCAATATTACATTTAAGTTAATGTCACACTTACATCAAACCTCTCCATATATATCCATATCCATCAATCTTTTCCACCCCCCATATTCCACATACAATTATCATCTTCACTACCCAATCACTCCATTCCCCCACCCCACCCCTATCACACCCCCTTATACCCACATACCTCAACATTCAAGTACATCCCCTTCATTTTTCTCTCTTAATATTCTCTCCTCACATCCCCCCTTTCTCCTAACATCCATTCAATTATCCTATCCTACCCTAATATATCCTTTCCAATACTATCCAAATTCTTATACCCGTCCCATATGTATTCAATCAACTCTCTTCACTCCCCTTCATACCCCCAAAAGTCCCACACCATTCCCCCATCCCCCCCCACAACTCGTTCCCCCTCCCTTCCCTGCCCCTCTTCTTACATTCATATCCATAATACTAGACAACCAACCCAACCCCCATCAAAACCCCCCCACATTACAAACAAACACCATCCCCACAACCATCATACACACCAATAACCCCATCCAAAAAACCCCCCACCTTAAAACCAACTACCCCTAATTTACATCATATCCTATCCATTCTCATACCATCCAACATAATACATCCCCTTCCCCCCTCCCCCTACCCAAACCCCATTCAAATCCCCAATCTTACTCCTCACCCCCCACCCAAACCCTTTTCAATAACTCACAACTCATCCATTCAATCCCCCTCCTCCACCCCCATAAATTAACAACCCACCATTTCCCCCCCTCCTTTATTCCCGACCCCCAGATCACACTCTCTGTTTACTTTCCTTAACCAAATCCACCCCCTTACCCACACATACAACATTATCCCCTTCCATTCTCTCCATACCCCTCCCTCTCAGATAACCCCACACAACCAAATCTCCCCATTCTCCCTTCATCTCCATTTTCCTTCCACCACATTACTAACAACCATTAACATACCTTCAACTCATCATCCCAATATTCATAACCTTCCTCCACATTAATTCCCTCCCATCCTCCTTCCAATCCCCCCCTAAATTTCACTCCATCATTCTCCACAATCCATTCCAATCCACACCCCATACATCCCATTCCCCCAACAAACACCAAATTCAAATATCATCCTCATTACCCACTCATAATCATAACTATCATACATATTCACAATCAAACTTACATCTAACTACAACCCCCCCCATACATTACAAGACATCGTCCTAATTTTCTACTATCCATACTAATCCCAATCTCCAACAAATATACATTTTCCCACATTCCCCCTTAATTCTAAAATACTTCAAATTCATTCTTACCAAAAAATCACCTACCCTTCATTAATGCAACATATCCTTTATCACACCCCATATTACCATAACACATCATACCTATTTTTGTTTGTCCCTCTCACATATATACTACCTTTACCATATTAATCCCCTAAATAAACAAATTACAACCCATCCCCACACTTTCCTCCATAATATCAACCACACTTATATTTCCCTTCGTCCCCCATATTACCACCCCCGTACCATTTGCCCCCCATCTCATCTCCTCATTACACCCCACACCCCCCCCCCTACCTACCACATCCACCCTTCCTCCACCCCCCTAAATTTCATCCCCCCCCCCCACACACCCCCCCCCCCCCCCCCCCCCCCCCCCCCCAACCTATCCCCCCCCCCAACCACCCCCCCCTACACCACCATCCCCATCTGCACCCACCATTACCTCCCCCTATACTCCCTCCTTTCCCACCTCACCACCCCATCCCCCCCCCCATATTCCAAACCCCATCCCACCCTATTCTACTCCATACTAAATAACCCCCACCAACTTATCTTAACACCCTATCATATTTTTTACTCCCCCCTCCATTCCCCACACCCACCCTCACAACAACAATAACCCCAAACCTACCCTTATAATTTCATTCCCCAAAAACCCTCCAAAAACACATAATTCCCTCAACCTCATTTTCCTAACCAAAATCTTACCTCCTTCACCTCCATCAAAAACTTTCTAACAACATCCATCATAAAACTTCCCACTTCCCTAATCCCATCTCCCTTCCCATAAACCACAAATATACCCTATCCTTACCCCACCATACCCTTCCTTCCAACCCTCCCTAACTCTTTCCCACACACCCCTTCCCCCTATTCTTCTCACTCACCACTCAAAACCCCAAAAATCCTTAAATACACCATTAATCCCACTATAATAACTCACCCCCATCAAACACATCCATAATCCCAATTACACTATCTTATTCTAATCACTTAAAAATCAACCCAATACCCTAAATACCACCTCCACCCATATCTCCTCCAACCCCCACTCAAAATCTTCCAAAACAATTTCACCAAACCCTTTTTTAACCCTAACCACACCCCCCCATAATCCACCCACCCCCCTCCCAATAAACATCCCCACCCCCCCCACCATACTCACCCAACCAAACACCAATATCACCTACTCCACCCTTAACCCAACCCCCCTCCACCACCAAACCCTCATAACACCATTCCATTCCCAATTCCCCAATCTCCCCCAACCTACTTCCCACCTTCCCAAATCAACCCATATCCCCAGCCCTCTAACATCCAATACCCATTTTCCAAAAAACATTACCCACAATACCCTACCCCCTTCTCCCCCTATTCTACCCCTCCCTACCTCACCCATTTATATCCCCATATAACACCCCCAACCACCCCCTACTTCATTCTAAAACACCCCCCCCCTTAATCCAACCCCATACCCTAACCCATATATCATAAACATTACATATACAACAACCACACCCAATACCCAACCTCATTTTTAAATACTCCCCCCCCCAATATCCCCCCCAACCCCTCCCCTTAACATCCCCCCCTCACCCACCACCTCCCAACCCCATATATCCCAACACCCCATATATACCTACTCATTTCCCTCTATTCCCCCCATTTATTTTTGTTCCACACCCCCATCTTTCCTTAACCACTTTCACCACACTACCCTCATCCCTCACCAAATCATATTACAATACACCACAAAAAAACCCCAATAACCCTACCCCACCCTTACCACCCACAAACAAAACCACCAATATCACCTCTGTACTCCTAATAACCCTAACCATTACCCAAACCCTACTCCCCCATACATATTAGTCATAACCTTCCCACATCAACTCGACTCCTCTATCATAAATAACCCAAAACCCTCAAAAAACCACCAACTACATACCCAAAACCCATTTTTCCAACTCATTTCTCCACATATCACAACCCCCCATCTCCAAATTCCCATCCCCCATAATAAACATACAAACTTACCCTCACAACCCCCTTTATGATTTTCCAACACTATTACTAACATCAAACCTAAATAATTTCCATCATATACCCCTCCCACCTCCAAACCCACCCCTAACCAGCATCATATCAACACAAACAACAAACCCCAATCTAATAACCACTCCACATACCTAATCCCAATCCTATAACCCAATACATCTTATCCTATTCCTCAACATTATAATCAATCAAACACATTTCACCCTACAATCTAAATTCCTCTATTTCCCCCCTACAACCTTCATTCCTTAAATTCTAACTAAAAAACTCCTTACACCCCCCCCAAAATTCTATTTTCTTTCACCCCCCCCCCCTACTCCCACTTCACCCATTCACCCCCCCCATTATAACATACCTCTCCCCTCTACCCTCCTTCTCCCTCCTAACCCTTTAATTATTAACCATCCATCCCTCCTTCCTTTCTCCCTATAAATCCCCTAAAATACACCCCCCCTTATCCATTATCTCCTTCTTCTTTTTCTATCATTATTTTACTCTTTTTACTCATTCCCCCCCCTACCCTCCCCCCTCTTTTCCTAATCCCCCCCCCCATTCTCATACTACCCCCACCCCCCCTTCCATCACCCCCTACACCTAAATTTATACCACTAATTACTCACGTCCAACTACACTTACCCCATCCCCTTTCCCCCCTAACAACCCCCCTCCCCTAACCCCTCTATCATACTCCATTCACCCCCACATCCTTCCCCCCCCTTCATAATCTTCCTACCCCAATCAACCCCTATTTCTAATTCCCTTCCCACCCCCCCTCACCACCTTCTTCAATCCTTTCTTATTCCCCACCCCCCCACCCCATAAACAACTATCCCAACCTCCATCATCCTAAAACCATATAACCAACCCCCCATCCCTCCCACCCCCAATTCCCTTACACCTTCCTTTCCATCCTTCTTCTTTCTTCACTACATCCCTTACATAACCCTACTCACTTTCCACCCCTTCTATCCTCTAACCCTCCTTTCCTATAACCCTCCATTCCACACCCCCCCCCACCCCCTCTATTATTTTCCTCTCTTATTCTATTCCTCTTCCACTTCTCCTTCTCATTATCCTTCCCCCCTCTTTAACCCCCTCCTCCCCTTCCCTCTCCATCTTCCCTCATCCCCCCATTCTCATCTTTCCTTTTATCATTTCCACACCTACCCTTCTTCCCCCCTCATATATCATTTTCCTATTCTCCTTATCTCTTTTCATTCACATTATCATATCTCCCCCCTTATTCTTATCTCCCCCTTATTATCATCATTCACTACCCCCCCCTAATCTTATCCATCCATTATACCCCTCATTTTCCCCCTTCCCCCCCCCATTCCTTATTCCCTCACCCCCAAACTCATCTTCAACTCCACCCCAACCTTCTTAAAACACTACTATTCCAATTCACCCACTCTCCCTACTCTACCTTCCCCCTATACCTTCAACATCCATCTTTTTCCTTTCATACCCTATTCTCTTTATCCAACTCTTAAATCCCCTCCACCCCTTCCCATTTCCCACCCTTCTCCTTATTCCCACACGTCAACCTCTTTCACTTACAACTTCCCCTTTTAACTTATACTCCCCTTCTTTACCCCTTCTCATCTTCACCACACCCCCCCCCCTACATATACCCCCCATCCCTCTCACCCCCCCCCCTATCCACATCCTATCCATCATCCCCCCCTCTCCAACCCCCCCCCTAAATTCCCCCCACTCTCAAATAAAACCAAACCCCACATCTTATCTACTTCCTTCCCAACCAAAATACTAAATCCCAATTATCCACCCCTTACCTACACCCCCCTTCTCACCCCTTATCTTCTCCCAAAAATTATATTAATTCTCCCCCAAAACAAATACCCCAAACCTTTACCATAACTCAATATAACTCACATATCACCCACTATTTAAACCTACCTTTACACTCTACAAATATCCCCCCATCCAACAACCTCACCCCCCCCACCTCACACAACCCCCATCCCCCACCCCCTCCCCCCCCCCCCCCCCCTACCCCCTAATAACCCCTAAACCCACCCTTATCCCCTATCCTCCCATCCTCACCTCAAATCCACCCTCCAATCAAACAAACACCCATACCCCAACCCCCCCCTTCTTAACACCATCTATCAACATCTTAATAACTAACAACCAAACAAACCCACCCCCATATCAACCATTTAACCCCCCCAAATAAACTAATTTTCCATCCCCCTCCCTCCTCCCCTTTCACCCTCACCACCACCTCCTCTCCTAACCTTCCTCCCCCAACCTTTATAAACAACTTCCCCTCTCCCTCCCATTCCTCCCCCCTCCCCAATTTCAAACCCCAATAATACCTCCACCCCAACCCCATTCCTTACTCCACAACATACATATAAAACTACCCCCCATCACCCCAAATATCATAACCTATATAATCTATAATACCTACTCCAACCACCCTTCCCCCCCTTTCATCATCTAACCCTTTATCCATCCTTCATACTACCTCTTAAACATTATAACACACACACACCCCAAATAACACCCCTATAATACCCACCCCTTCCCAACACCAACACCCACCCAAAACATCCACACAAAAATACATCCACCCAAACCCCCCCCAACTTAATCAACCACCCCCCATCCCCCCCATTCCCCCACCACCTTCTCCTCTCCCCCCTTACCTTCCTCATTTATCTCATCCTATCTTCCCTCCTCCCTTCTCCATTTCTACTTTCCCCTTCACTTTCCATCTTTTCCCCATCACTTTCATCACTTGCCTCCTTCACTTTCCATCACTTTCCATCACTTTCCATCACTTTCCATCTCTTTCACTTTAATCCCCTCTCACCCCAAAACCCCACTACAACCCACCACAACCCCACCCCACCACCCCACCCCAAACTAAATATTATCCATTTACACCCACCTCCTACCACACCTCTTCCAAACCCCCCCCCCCAATCCCACCCCCCCCCCCTTTACTTCTCCACCCCATAACCCCCCCATAACCACATACCTCCCCCCCCCTTCTCACACATACCCACCCATAATAATCAATAACCATATACCATACCCACCCCCCACCCAAACATAATTCCCCCAACCCATACCCCCCACTCCCCCCAATCCACCACCCTTCCCCCCACAACCCCCCCCATATTTACCCACTATTCCCCAATTTATTCTCCCACTTTCCCCCCCCTTTCTTTCTCCCCCAACTATCCCTTTCACCTCCATCATATTACACAACCCCCACACAATACCACACAATACCACCCCCTCCCATCATCCATAATCCTATCAAAACATATCTTCAAACCCTCCTAATCAACAAACACATCCTCAACCCAAATTTCTTCCCCACCACCACCCCCTCCCCCCCCCCAATCTAACACCACCTCCCCCATTCAGACCCTCCCCCTCTCTACCAACACATTTACAACCACCCTACTACCTCACCTAACCCCCCATATTAACCTCCCTTACTTTCTTACCTCTCCCCTCCCCCCCTATTGATATATATACACCCACCAATTACTCCCTTTTCATCCCTCCTCATCATCTCCCCCATCACATATTTCCCCCTTATTCCCCCACACCCCACTTCATTATCCCCCAAACAATTTCCAAATTCTTCTCAATCCCCTTTCCCTTTCTCCCACAATTTAGCCCCCAACCCATTATGTCCTACGACATCATCTAAGCTCATCATCCTTACAATATAACAATACCTTAAATCAGTTACATTTTATCCTGCCTTATCCTTACTTAACCCCCATACCCCCTATACCTCCAATCCATCCTTAAAATATAATAAATCTAATTAAATTTATAACAAATACAATATTGTCCCCTACACAATATCATCCAATTTCCTGCCCAATCTGCAATAATAACCTGTCTTCCTCCCATATGCTCTGTTTTACCCTCTCTTAAAACATCAACATAACTTTCCGGGTTACCCCAATCAAATACCATTATCATCACAAGTCCTACTATCAATAAATATCTTCATCAAATTTACCCACACCCCCTCCCAAACCACCCTAACCCAATCCCCCACACAGACTCTAAACCCCCCACCCCCACCTCTAAACCCTACCTTAC